CATTTTCAAAAATATTGTTCACTTCTCTCTATGGAAGGTGTTGTAACTAATTGTAAGCATGTAACTGGTCTAGTTTTAACTCTTTATGCCCTAACATCACTATGCATATTCTCCATACTTTCTCTATAAATTTCTTAAGGTTCTGAAAAGGAGAATTGTTTAACAATTAAGAGCTTCTTTAGTTATTAATAATTTTCCTTATTCTCATAACCCTTAATGTTTCATTCAGGGGTGATCTTGTAAGTAGAAATTGGATGTCAGTCACTCTTAGGGGTTAAAGGGTTAAGCCATGGCTGGGTCACAGTATTGAGATCTGGTGCAAGACACTTCTTTTGCACAGTGCTCCATCAGCACCTGTAAACAGACATGGACCCGTGAGACCTGATTAAATGCCAGGGGGGTGGGGGTGACTTCAAGATTGATTCAAATCCTGTCAATACTCTTACCCTGAATTATTATTACCTGAAAAAGGATAAACTCAGCAGGGGTAAGTAAGAATTGACGTCCACTCTTCTAATCATGAACAGCCAAGTTGAAAATTCTCTGTATTTTGCCCTCCCTCCACTTGTATTTCCTGCTTTGAAAACTTTACTGAACGGCTAGTTTCATGCTCGCAATCAGGTATCACCAATGGCGCGGACTGGTACTCAGTATCTGGTGGAATGCAGGATTACAACTACGTCAACAGTAACAGCTTTGAGTTAACTATGGAGGTGAGCTGCTGTAAATTTCCTGAAGCTAGCACCCTTCAAGGGTTTTGGGAAGATAACAAAAAGTCCTTGCTGGAGTTCCTGAAACGAGTTCATACTGGTTTGACTGGCTTTGTGATGGACCAGAATGGACAAGGTAAGTTGTATTTAAGTTTACATGAAATGATATTAGTATTTGCTTAAGGTTATACGAGTTCCCATTTCAATTAGCCATGATGCCAAATTGTCAATGTCTTGAAGGAAAATGACAATTTTAGAGTCTGAAAGTTGTTCCAATTTTCTTTCATAAAATTTTGTTGAATTCTGTGGATAAAATGCTATGTGGCACGGCCTGATGACTTTTTGTTATGGACAGTATTCTGATTACTTTTGTACCTGTGATATGAGCACTTAGCAACTTGTGCTTAGTTTTACTTACCATATTTAATACATTTATATATGTTTGCATTTCAAAGACTTTTTAATTTTAAGCATAGAAATCCACTTTGCTTTTAGGAATCAAAGGAGCTGACATAAATATTTACCCTCGCAATCATCCAGTGAGAAGTGCCAGAGATGGAGATTACTGGCGTCTGCTTCTTCCTGGTGTTTACAAGGTGACAGTTTCGAAGCGTGGCTATCATCCAGTGGAGAAGATTGTCAGAATTTCCAAAGGACCAGCAACAAAAGAAAACTTTGTTCTGGAAAGTAATGGCCAGGCTATGGATGAGGCAGGCACAGAACTGGAGGAAGTTGTACCAGATGAGGCAGGCACAAAGCGAGAAGTTGTACCAGATGAGGAGAAGAAGAAGCATGTACCAGTTTCATTGGTTGTTGGGTTAACAGTTGTTTGCCTAATTTCATTGCTGTTAGCATTAGTTCTTGCTATCTTGATCACCAAGAAATATCGTCAGAAAGAGAATGTCCAAGGAGAATACTCTCAAGTCCACACTGATCCATGAAGAAGATTTAATGGTAAAGTAAACTGTAGAATCGAATGACAAGATTTGTTTCACATACTGTATTTTCTCTTTTAAATGCCAACAGAGTATTGCATGTCATTTGTTATTTAGGCACAGCTGTGTCATGCTGTAATACCTCAACCTGGCTAAAATTTGTCAAACAGATTGTTTAGGAGTGTTTTTATAAAATTACTGCAACTATTACTTTCAGACAGAGTGAATGTCGTTAAATGATGCATCTTAATTTTCAACTACTTTTTCTCTTATTTTAGTAAATTTTTCTTTTGAAGCAAATGAAAAGTGTTGTTTGAGAATTCAAAAACCTTGAAAACATTTCTCTCATGTAAATTTTTTCATTTGACATCTTTAATTGTGATTGGTCACAACACTACAAACATAGTTTTCTGAGTCTCACAGTAAAAATTGTTACCTCAGTGGTTAATCATGTGTATGATAATTATTTATAGAAATGTTTGGCCAATCACAGCTGGTATATTTATACAATCTATACAGGACTTGAAGACACAGCATTTAATCAAGAAAATTTAGTTCAATCAGATTACAAAAAAAAGGCATACAAATTTTTATTTTCTTAAGTCATTTTAATCATAAGTTACTCAGCTTCCTGTTTTATTTCTAATTTTGAAATTGATTTTTAGTTTGAATTTACTGTTTTCTAACAGTCATATTATTCACAGAATTTATTTATCACAGGTGTCTGGACATTTGATTGGTTAGCCTAAAGCCTGAAAAGCAACTGAATTTAGTAAATGTTGGTTCAAAACACAAGTTCAAGGAAAGCTTTAGAAATATTTTTTTCAACTACAGTATTTGAAGTTAGTTAGGAATTAGTTTTTCTTATGATTTACATCAGAATTCATAATTTAGTGAAGAAAGGCATGGATTGTATTTACTGAATAATTTTTTCTTGATATTGTTTATTTTTGTGAATACCAAGAGTTTCATGTGTAAGATAAAAGGACAACGATTAACAGAGCACCTTTGCAACCCTCACTTGTGAAATTGGTGAAATTTTTTTTACCCCCTTTTGGTCTTAATCTTGAAGTTTCAAGTTGGGATGAAATGAGAGTAATTGTACTTCTTCTGTGGATGGTAAACCTACATGAATATTACTCAGTTCATTGGCAGTCTATAAATCATTGTTCCTTTTCAGTTTATTTTTTCACTGATGTTGTTTAATTAATAGTTTTTATCCTCTCAAAAACCAACACAAATAATTTTTGAACAGTTTCTGCTCTTCAATACCAAGACCAAGAGGGAGTGTTTATGTCTTTTAAGTAGTATTCTAAGAGCTTCCATTTGACAGTATCTTTGTAGAAAAGGTGCATTGACTTTTTGTTTGGTTACTATTGGAAACTGATACTTGAGGATGGTAACTCATGATGGAAATTTTATCTAAATCTAAACGAAGTGAATCTGAGGTATTCGCACATGTTGAAAAAAGTGTGTAACCAGAAGTAGAGATAGAATGAAGAAATGAAATAAAGTTGTAAACTGCATTACTTTTTTTTCATGAGTAAAGTGTTGGGGTTTAGCGCCTTACCCACACAGTTCCGTGTCGGGGATACCACCAAAAGTTGTCTCCATACATCCTGGAGCAGTAAATTAAAAATGACGTATTTTGTTGCAGATTATTGCGTTTTTTAATTAAAGAATACCTTTGGCCAACTTGTGGATAAAGTATTCTAGAGTTGAAATGTGTTTGTGAACTTGCAAATAGAAGTCTTATTGCAAAACTTGCGTTGTTGATATTAACATAACTGAAAAAAACCCAAAAAGTTCTGGAGGTTTTTTCGGTCTCACCTCGTGACTTTGTCGAAAGCTTCTAGGAGGTCACGGAGAAATCCAGAATGATGGTAACCATCCAAAATGATATCCTGCATTTATCGACAGAATTACGCACAGGAAGTTATTTTCTCCAGAGCCGCTAATGTTCACGATAAGTTAGTTCCGTGATTAAGACGTCAGACTCGGGCGAGTTGGGGGCGAGTAATTACCTCAGTATCAGTCAACAGTGTCTACACCTTTTTGTGAGTGAGTGACTCACTTGCATATCGGAGCCCCCCTTAAAAGCTTGTTTCTTCGCTTCGTGTATCCACATGTTAAAAAAGAGGACCCCGACAGCAGATCAATCACGTCTCTACCTCTGATATAAACAATGCTTTCCCATGGAATTATTCCATAGACGAAAGGAAGCTTCTTTTTAATCGTCCTGGCGTCAGCTCTCCATTTCCAATGTAACGAGAGAGAGACAGAACCTGCGAGTCTTTCGTGCAATAATATTTCGTTTTTTTGCAGAACTCCTGTCTTAGTGAGGTCTAAAGAAAGTCCTTTGTCTGGTGTTAAATAGCTTGATGAGGCACCCTAGCTTAGCAAAAAGACTGGGGCTGAATATCTGTCTTTGACAGGACAGTTCCTCACAAGATGGACACCAACGCGATACAGACATGTGGTCCAGGCTTCTCATGAGACATTTACAACGAATTTCCTGTAAGAAAACCTGGAAAGTTTACCTGACATGAGTTGCAATTACGAGACGCTTCAGTTTTTTAAAAATTAATTATTTAAAACGATTTGTTTATCAATGCGCACGAAACGAAACGCAAATAAAAGTCTCACTAAGGCTCGTAAACGCAAATCATATTTTTAAAAACCGTATTGCATAGTTACTGCTAGTCAGTGAAGATCCCCACCCTCCCGACCCTAAGGACAGGGCCAGGAAAATAACGGCGTCATGCCGAAGTTTAAACACGCAATTAATAATGTGATGTTACAGGACTATGAAAAGTTTAACACTTCCGGTCAATGGCGGGGCGTTTCACGGGATTTAACGTTAATCCAATCTGGAAAAGCCTGTGTTTGACTCGAATTTGTCATTAAGGGGGCATTGGCAAGTAACTTCGACAGCTGCTACGGCTGATTAATACTGATCTGAAATAGATCACACTTTGATGTCATGAACATATTGTTTTAAGCATATTAATAATAAAAATTACATTTTTTTCGATTGTAATTGGTTTAAAAAACTCCTATTATCCACTAATTCACTTGCAACGTTGTCGTCTGACAGTTGTGTATCGGATGATTTTTATTAGACAGTTCAATAAGCCAATCACATTCAAAACTTTAGTTTAAATCAACCAACCACAACCTTGGTTTCAATCACTATAGAAACCATTTGTTATTGTTCTGCGCCATTTTGATTATAGATTGAGCCCTGGGAACTAAGTAAACCCCCCCTACGATTTCGTCATTTTACCAAAGACGATGACGTCAAAGAGGTCTTTTCATAAGCCGAAAAACTAAGATTTAATTATTTCGACCTTAAGAAAATTCAAGGTCCCAAGTTTCGCTGTCACTGAACCATGGAAATTCCTCAAATAGATATCTCGCCTCTGATTAGCGGTTATGGTAAGTGCATCGTCGTTTAGATAAACGCTTCAATGATTCGCAATTTTTTTTTCATTTGTGTGAAAATCCGTCGCTGACTTTTTATAACATACCGAACATACGAAGGCACAGCATTTATCAGAGTGATGATTTGGTTAAGTTGAAAAATCGTAGTTGATATTTGTGGCCTGCTGATGCCATTCCAGAAATGGTAAAATATCCTAATCTAGCATTTAAGACCCCTATCTGCGATACAATGACTGTGACAGGAATATTTACACTTGAGACAACAGATTTCATGTTCACCTTTTTTTTTTATATATACCTCAAAGGAAATTACACCGACAATGATAAGATAATGTTTGCAACCACAGATAAAGCGCTGATCAAAGTTTCCATTGTAACCATGTTTTATTTGTCATCATGTTCATCCTTTCAATCTTTGTTGGTTTTTTTTTGCCTTCAAAAGCTTATCATCTCCTGTCGATCATAATCAGAGGATTTGAAGGAAATCCATCGAGTAGAACACATTTCGGTCATACATTAACTTAATAGCTTGGGCTCCTGTTATTTTTTACTGTTATTAACGCGCAGTAATTACTTAATTAAAGCTAGCTTTTTCAAGTACTTTTCAGAATTAGTTTTCAATCAATAGGCCGCTAAAAGAAGTCGAAATTAACATATTATTGTAAAATCTAAATGAGTGTCGACTATAGCTTTTACAAAAGAGGCATATATCGTGCTGAAAAGTATCGTATTTTGAACCTCTAACAGATTTGATTCTCTACCCAGGAGTATCTGAGGACATACACGAAGTCATAGCTCAAATCAAGGGGGCCTGTGAGGATATTTCTTGTTTCTATATCACTGGTCACGGAGTGGACACATCCTTGATGGCTGATGTAATAAAATGCAGTAAAGAGTTTTTTAACCTGCCAATGGACGAGAAATTAAACATCAACTTGAAGAAAAGTCCTGCATATCGTGGATACATTCAACTAGGTACTTTAGTTGCATATTAAAAATGACAATAGAAATAGTATTAAATACCAATGTGCTCGTAATTAGAAGTTTCAATAAGTCGCCACAGAATTACATCGACCTTCCCTTTGGAACAAACACTCGTAAGTGGATACTTCCCCTAATAGCGGAGCTTCGGAGTGGATTATCCATACTCAAGAAAGAAGGGTAATTCATCAAACAGAGAAAATTTGGTTCTTATTTGGTGGACCTCAGTCGGTACAGCCATTTATGACTATTTGTCTTAAAACGAACGCAAGCCTGAGAATCAAAATGATACTTTTGAAACTCCTCTTTTCCTACGAAATAAACTGCAAGCGAGTCACAAACATGCTTAGAATATCTTATTTACTGATTGGACCTGTTAAAAAAAAACATCAGGCGCTCCGCTTAATGGTTCGAATAAGTATTTATATCAGTCAATTTTCTCTCAATAGCTAAAATTTTTCCTTACCAATTCATCAGATATGACACTAATTCTGTATTTCCCACGGAGGGACTAAAATCTCTTGAAAAACACTGAAATTAGTCGTGACATAGCGTCTTGACTATGTGGTGCATTATGATACGCATATATCCTAACTCAAAGATGCCTGCGGGTCCTAGCCTAAATTTCGACCCTTTGATCCATCGGTCCAACGAACAATTTTTAATTAAATTTTCAATAAACAAAAACGTGGAAGGCAAAGAAAGATTCACATTCAAATACATTTATACCAGAATCAATGCCACATTTCTATTCATGGTACTTACTAAAATTTTCAGTCTGATCAGCCTTGAATTATGATTGTTGCTGTTTTTACTTTATTGTAATCATAAATGTATTATTATTAAAAGGTTCTGAGAAGACAGCAAGCAAAATCGATATGAAGGAAGGAATTTATTTTGGCCCAGACTCTGGCTCGCATGACGCTGATACAACAGCCTTGGAACCTATGATGGGGCCTAATCAGTTCCCGGACAACAAACAATTACCAGGATTTGCCACAACTATCAATGATTACATGGACAAGATGTCCTCGGTAGGGTAAGTACGCTAGTTAGACTTATTCTCCATTTCTCCTTGAGGGCTGGTACTGGACAAATGATCTCTGTCTTACTTTGCTCGTGTGTCGACAAATTTATCAGTTAATTGACTTGTTAAAATTTTCTAACTTGCCCCAATAAACTAATCTTTTTTTTATTTCAACCTTACTTAGACATGCTTTGATGAAAGGTCTCGCTCTTTGTCTTGAACTAAATGATGATTACTTCCATGACAAATTCAACCCAGCTTTTCCAATGATGGCTCTATGGCATTACCCACCCGTCCCTGGAGACTCAGACTCATGGGGGGTTGGACCTCACACAGATTATGGAGTGCTCACTTTATTGATGCAGGATAGCGTCGGAGGTCTGCAAGTCAAGACAAAATGTGGAGACTGGATTGATGTTCCTCCCATTACAGGTAGATGAACCATTTATTTACTCGTGCACTTGCTTATTTGATGTTATTAGTGACATAGAAGATTCAATCATTTGTTTATCTTGTATTAATCTGTTCATCTGGGGAGACAATGCTCAGCGCAGTAGAATGAATTTGAAGTTTCCGGATTCAAACCCAGGTTTTAGTCAGTGTGTTATTAGAAAAGACAAATTTCTCTCATATTGCCTCTCAGTAGAGATGCTGTTCTGCACCTACGCGTGAGACACAGGTAGAGTTGAAGATCAAACACGGCAATCAAGGATTCGAAAATTTATTTGCACGATATCCGATCTGGTCGAACATATATATATGTGTGTGTGTGTATGTGTATATATAGTCAACTGAAATTACAAAAATTATATGAAAAAATATTACAATAGTGTACGTTTGTGAACGCGAGGGCAAAACGATAATACGTACAATTTGTATCCACCAGTCCTTCAGTTCCCGATTAAATACAGTTCAAAGTTCACTTCTTCAAACAATCGTAGTTCTGATCTCTCCCTCTACTCGTTACAACATTTTTCGCGTCCTTTCTATATAACGTTTACGCAATGGAGGCATTTTTTTTTCACGAAACTATGTAAAACATTCTGCGCGAAATGCCGATTACATCCAATGGTATTCACAAATGTAATGTTTCATGATAACGTTTCTGAGAATGCGGATTAATTAATTTTAAAATCATTCCGTTAATGTACCCTCAAAAGGATAAACCTAGTAATCGTAACACAATTACACGAAACTATGCAAATAGTCTGCGTGAAATGCAGATCAGATGCTTTATGCTGTATTGCTTTATGCTGCTAAGAACACGATAAGTTCTGGCAGAAAGAGCCACGGGCATAGCCTTATGGTGTTGAGGCTTGATTTTCCATATATATTTACCCATTCAGTCATTCATTGTTGTAGGAACATTTGTGGTCAACATTGGTGACGTTATAGAGGCCTGGACCAGGGGAAAATTCCGTGCTACAGTGCACCGGGTCAGAAATTCGACAAAAAATCATCGAATATCAGCACCTTTCTTTTTCCAACCGGGTCTTGACTGCATCATCGAGTCTCTTGATGACGTTTTGGTCTCAGACCGTTGCCCTGAAAACCCCGGTGGAACTGCCCAAACTGCGCTGTCGCTTCATGAGCCCTTTAATTTTGGGGATTATGTGTTTAATAAGTTTCAGAAATCATATGGGAAGGAAGTTTAAGTCGTTAATTAATGTTATGCATGGCCTAAGTCTGGTCAAGTAAAGAAGAAAAATCGATGATTGCGCTGGTTTTGCATATCCTTTGCTTTGGGATTGACCCTTGACAAACAACACTGAATCAATGACGCCTCATCACTGATGTTTTGACGAGCTCGAGGCTGGTTTCCTAATCTTTTTTTTTTAATTCACAATAAGTTCGTGTCTTCGTTAATTAATCAGCTTATTCCGATGGGCCGTCAGCTGAAAACCAACTCAGTTGAAGGGCCCTGATTCATTTGTTAGTCTGTCGCTCATTTTACGGGTTATTTTATTGGTTTATTATGACCAAAAGGGAAACGCTTTTTCGTAAACAGGTCCGTTAACTGTGAGCGCGTTAACTTCTTACTTCGTTTGCGTGTGTCAGTTCTCTGCACTCTATTTAAGGTTCGCATTGGTTTTGTCTTCGTGCAGCTTAATGCCGATGATACATTTTCCGAGACAATCCCTGTTTTTTTCACCTGGACAATGCTCTTCGTATTTTTCAGTTTACCTTTCATTGTAGAGGAATTTTCAATTAAGTATTGAAAGTAATCCAGCTCTTGCTCAACTAAGCTCTATGATTATGGTCTGGAAAACTCACGCTACCCTCTCAACCAATCAGATGCAAAATTGATAGGTTAGGCAGTATGCTTGCTTTTACCATTGCGTTCCCATTGGCTCCTTGTAGATACTTTTTAATTTTTGATTGGTTATAATAAGTCTTCTTTTGGCTCGTGCTAACTCAGTTCAAACGTGCTTTTCATGACTCTATAATTGTTTGAGTAATTTTTCCTGACTTTGATTTTTATGACCTTGAGGGTAAAACCTAAAGGCCGCCTAATGAAGGCCTTTTAGAGGGAGATTGGTTACAGAAGGATCTGATTGCTTCTCTTCCTTACTCTCTAAAAACAGAGTGAAGATAACTTATGTGTCAAATAATAAAAGTAAACGCTCTCTTAGCTTAGTGGTCATTTGTAATTTTAGATCCAGTAAACGTGTGGGGAACACGCTGGAATCTGGATCGGGAGATCTGGCTTCCAGCCCTAATTTGGTCTTTGTGTTGCGTTCTTGGACAAGACGCCTTTCTCTCTGAGTACCCCTCTTTACCATGCAAGAGTATCTGTACTCTTGGGTAATTCCAAACGGTTGTCAAGATTTGCGGATTTTGTGAAATCGGAATTCGATGTTGAACTCTCGCTCATTTCACAAAGATTTGTGTTTTCGTTGCCCTAGTCGAGATAAGGTGGGGGCCAAAAATTACGGCTTCGCTGGGCGGCACATACCCGTGTAAGAATTACATAGGAGTACCACATGGCTCTTATCAAACTAATTATTCATGCTAAGGTTATATATTATTTTTCTCTTTTACATCATCTTTTACATACTTCATATATTTACAGCGATAAAGCTCATCAAACAATTTTTCAACAGGTAACCGTATTTAGAGATGCATATCGATGATGGTTGGGTAGCCTGCGGATAATATTATTTCTGTCTTCATTTATGCGCTGGACAGAGTAAGATGAAAGATTTGCGGACTTTTTTTCCAACAGTGTGCAGCGAAGAGCTTATTTCAATTGATAGTTCTTTATCTAAGGGATGCTTTGAAGATAATTATCTTCCAGAATGTTTTACAAAGCCTGACTGAGTCGCAGTCATAGTTGTTCTGAGCTACTTTGTATTGCTCTCAATAAGCTCCCAAACTAATGCACATCCAGTGTCATCGGCAGAAATAAAATTTCTTCCAGCGAAACAGCACGTTAAGATTGCACCGGTATGTTGATTGGAGCTGAAACGAAATCAAGAGCAATTTAAGTAAAACAATTATCAAGTTTCATGGGTGCAAAATTTTGAAGACAGCTAGATAAATAACTACTTGGAGTTTACTTTGAGAGACACGATTTGTTGAAGTCTTTCTGCATATATTGTGCTTATTTCCGGATTATTATCCAAAAGTTAATCCCGAGATGACACCAAGATGCGCTTATCCAAGACTGTACAAAGATCTACGTCTTCATGGCTGTGTGACATGTAAGATAACACCGGCTAATGAACGACATCTGACCATGTGCTGATGCCAATGGCTGAGATGGATAAAGGGGGCAAGAAATAGCGACAAAAATGAGCGTGGTCGAGATGGGAAAGACGAATGAAACAGAACCACATGGAACTGGTCTCTGTTAGGTTAATTGCTCTGGAAGAGTGAAAACGACTGTTTTCTAGCATAAGATGAAACACTAGCAAGCTCCGCTGGGAGAAAAAAAGCGGAAAGGAGGAGAAATAAGTTGGAAAGGATGAGCTGAAATGTGTCATGGAAGGGGGCACAGCATAGAGAGTGATTATTGGAGAAAGTGATCTCCTAATGCGCCCACTGATGTGGTGAAAACAGACGATGATGAGAAGATAAAATCAGGTGTGACAAGGTATAGACATCCCGAACAAACTAAGCAATACCGTACCTAGTATCCTTCCAACTGCTCCAAACGTGGTCCTCCACAGAGTCCCAGATGTTGATCGTAGTATCACTTGCCACGCCTACTATGTGCCTGCCGTCCGGAATAAAGGAAATTGCCTGAATAAAAGACAAACATAGAGGATGAAATGAAACGTTTTTCATAAGTGAAAGACGAATAAAACCTCTGCGACCCTTAACAGGAATGGAGCCTTAGACCTAAGTATCCGGGGTAGGCCAGTCAGCCGATCGGACAGGCCACCTTATCTTCTTCTTCCTTATCTTTCCAGAGGGTAAGAGGGAACGAATTATCCATGAAAGATTCTTAAAATTACCGAAGGGATGCAACGCTTGCCGTAGGTGCATTTTCCCTCAGTGCCGCATAGCAGCTTTCTTTTATAACCCTAACAAACAAACCTTCAATTGTTTGCTGCCTCTGATGTCTGCACTGTTTTCAACATTATAGCTAGTCCCATGCATAGTCCATACTGTTGCACTGTTGCCAGCTAAGGAAGCAAACACGGGGTCGACCGGTGAAAATATTATACTCTTTACAGGTCCGGGTAATGTGCCTAGAGTAGTCACGCAGCTCCAGTCACTTTCCTGTCTCCATACGCGGATCGTCATGTCATCTGAGCCCGTGAGAGCCACAGCAGCATCCGGCGAAAACTGAATACAATTCACTGCGGCAGTATGCCCCACGAGTTGTTTAACCTCTCCTCCGGGAACAAATTCCCCTGCACCTGGTTTTATCTTGTACAGGCGAGCGGTCCTATCGCGTGAAGCGGAGGCGAGAAGTTTTCCATCTTTCGAAAAGGTGCATTGAAGGACGGCATCTGAGTGGAGCTCTGTAAAATAAAATAGTGGATCGTTACCTCTGAAGAGAACAGAGTGAAATTCAGCAGAATGTGGTAAAAACCATGGAAATAGCCACAGCAGCCAATGTAAAGAAAGAAAATATTACAAGGAACCAAAAACATTCAAGTAAGAACGAAGAAAGTGTCTGAAGAGCGTAAAAATGTCGGTGACGAAGTCACGACTCTTCTAAGGTGTGGATGAGAGGATAGTGTGAGTTTTGTGAACAGATCGACACGATCGATAGACAGCAAAACTACAGCAATCCCTCAACACTTGACAGAAAATAATATCACAGAACGATACGGTGTTAGAATGACATAAACTCTGTTTCGTTTGATCAACACTCGGATGTTAGTAAGTTTCATTGTATTTTTGTTTGTGTGGTCTTGTTCTTCGAGAATCAATTATAATGACAAGGACGAAGAAAGTCCACGGTTGATTTTTTAAGGAATATTCGTTCTGGTGGAATTGTTTGTGTCAAACAGAATCTACTACAAAGTCTTTGTGCAAAGGAGGAAGTACTTGAAATCGTACTCATTTTTTTTTTAAAAGTCCAGATGGGTTAAGTAAAAACTAATATTCCACGGTAAGCTTTCATTTCCGATTATATGTTTTATCAAACCAGGAAAGATTGTGAATCAGAACAATGTCGATCGCTTCAACTATTTTGATCATTTTCTTAGATAATTTTCATATAACTTTTACGAGATATAGCTGATAAAAATTAAACCTTGCTGGCCTTTTTGAAAAATTACCTAGATAATTCCATCGGATCTGTGTACAGGCAAGAGGCGATAATTACTTGGTACAGGTTAATTCAACCTTTATGTTTAGAACTTCCTCTTTCAACTAAGTCAATTAACCTGAAACATCTAAGGAGTAACCTTGCGCAAAAGTGCATTTTTTTGCTGATAGTAGATTTTTCATTCATTTTTGAAAGCGTTCTGCCTAAAGCAATGCTTTTTAGTAGAAAATGAAAGATACAAATCGGGGGAAATTGCGCAAAACAGACATAACTATATCTGGATTAACGAGAAAAAAAATCAGACTGTTAAAAAAGGATTCCCCAGGAAAAAAGTAAAACTGACAAAACATAATTCTCTGGTTCAATTATGATGTAAATTTATACTACTTGTGACCAAACCTCGCGCGATAAATATTTGATTTTAAGCTGCGACAAACAGGTGCGCTTTGAACCGCCGCTTTCGAGTTAAATATTATCATCCGATTGCAAACCATGTTGTATTATGTTCAATGTTTTCCTCAAGCAAATTTTATTATAAAACCTCCTACATCTATTCGATTCCAACAGCTTCAGAAGGAAAAGACTATATTTAAACAAAGCTGGCTTTTTTAAGGCCAGGGAGTATTGATGCGGACAAGGAATTGCGGACTGCTGTACGACAGTATCGTTGTTGATTTCTTTTGCGGTGAAACAATTTCGCGGACATCAAATCGAAAAATCGGCACTTTTTCTGCTCAAGTTGTCCTACTGAGAAAGAGTGCTTTTCCTACATTGCTAAATATTTTATCTCTGAAAATCGTCTTTTAATCGTTCAGTTTGTTATTATAGCTGACGAAAATCCTTTTGCCAATTGAAAATCTACTTGGTCAACACTAACAATTGAATACATAATGCACTTTGTCTATAGCGCATCTGGTTTTGAGTTAAATGATTCAAATAAGAACTCGTACTTTTTTTTTTCTTTTCAATGTTATATTCCAAAAATAAAAATGATATTTAAGCAAAAAAGGGATAACAGTTTTTACCTAAACGAGAAGCCCGTTTTCCAGTCTTGTAATGCCACAGAATGACTTTCTTGTCTCGAGACGAAGACGCCAAAATGTTTCCTATCGAAGAGAACGCACACGATGTAATTTCGTCCGTATGGCCGCCTGAAAGGGTTCTTAACTTCTGCCCGGTTGCAATTGTCCAAAGATCTATTTTTCCATCGGCAGAACACGTAGCGAGAGTCTCTTCTTTGGGATCTACAGCACAATACAGTACATCTTTGTGACCCTGTAGACAGTGGACAACTCGCAACTCATACTTTCCGCCGTTAATTCTTGAGGACATCTTTACCAGGTCAGCGCTCTCCACTGAAAAACAAGAATTTCCTTGGCTGTAAGAGGGCAGATATATGAAGTGTTGTTACTCCGGGAACATTTGAAATTTAAACTTCAGTGTTTAGTTTTGGCGAGCCGGCCGAGTGAACGTTGTCGACAATAGGACGTTTCAAGTTGGCACTTTCAACAATTCTATGTAAATTTAATGTCGGATGTGGCTTAGTCGGTCATTATATTTTGTTCTACGCAAATGAACGAAACGCGCCCATCAATATTTTTAATGTCACGAAATAACTTGTGTGTAACTACAGATACCGTTCGTGACAACGAGTATCTCGGGTGTTTTTACTACAAGAAAAAAAAAACGTCAAAATACATGTGTTTGTATAGTGCGTGGAATTTCCATATTCAATTAATTTTTCCGAAATGAAAGAGCTCCTTTCGTCTCCTGAACCAGCTTCTCCTCCAAATGCTGTGGGGATTTCTAAAGGTGTTCTTTTGTCGTAATCTAAAACTGAAATGTTATTTTGTCCACCGTCAGTAACACACGGAAAAGAGATCATTTCGTGGTGTCAGTCGCATATAAGAATATCGCTCAATTTTACGTGTCAAAAGAACGCACACTTTCGTCGTTTACCTCACTGGGCGAACGATACTCGTTTACAGGACCAACGGAGAAATAGTCCTTTAAGTAAAGCTAAAAGTCGACACCATGTAATCATTTGAAGTACAATGGAAATTTCAGTGGTGCTCGGTCAACGAAATAGCTCTAGTTTGGTAACCTATCGTCAAAGAGTCTCTCATAAAAACTTACCCGTTAAACTAAAAACAGAGAAGAATTGCTACCTCCAGTCGCCCCGTGAGCGAGCGATGTTTGTATTTGATGTATTTGGGTCGAGTGCAATCAGTCTTTGAACTAAGCCAGACGTCAACCCAGTCATGCGCATTAATGCTCTTAAGATTTGTGGGTGATTATGCTAGAAAAGCCTATCATGTTCTGATTGCAGGTTGTTCAACGGAATATCGGTTTTGTGGGTTTGTTCGGGTCAATTGTATGACGTTTTCTCGATGAACTCGTAGTCTGACGATAAAATATGCAAGTCAAGTGACTTTGGTGGCCAACACTTTACAAGTACACATGCACAGTTAAAGTTTGTCCTCTCGGCAAAACTTGTTCCAGTTACATGTAAAATAACAACAACCACATTGCTGGCATCACATTTCATTCAGTTAGGCGTTCAACCAATTGTTTTGCAAATAGTGTAAATTTTGACAAAAGCCTTAAGGTGGCTATGTACCCAGTATGCGGAGTGTCTCACGTGACATCCTCATTCGTTATGGGTTCATGCCCTTTGCTTTAGCCTCGGGCCGTTTTTAGCAGAATTTCAAATCCGTTTTGACAGTATATGTCACTTAATCTGGTTAAGTATGGACGCCTTTGACTAATATCGAAATCCAATCATGAATAAATTTTTTGGACAGCCAGTTCCAACCAGCTGTCGAATTGCCCTATCTCAAATGGCGCCCGTTGAACGTGTGACTTTGATATTCAAATATATTTGACTTGTTGACAATTTCGACATTCCGTTGTAGCTTTGTCTTTGACTGATCTGCAATAGAAACTTTTTTTTTACTATTCAATATAACGTTTTACAGCAAAGTTTCAAATTAAGTAACATGGGAATGAGTTCAGCAAAAACATGAACAAAGGTCACGAGCGTAAGCCGGCCTCTCTAAGAAATAAGCGTCATTCTCTGAAGATAGCGTGTTAATTTAGTGTTATTCGATCTCATTAACTCGAAATATTGCGCATTGAATAACCTTGAGAGAACTTTGTATAAAACACATCAAGCCTATTTCAATATGATTATTAGTACGGACGAAAAACAAATCTTGTGGAAATACTTTTCTAGGTACTGCAGTTATGAAACTTTCCTTAGGTAACCTTCATTTACATTTCAAAATAAAATAAGTGAAAATTTGGAAATGAACCTTGATTATTCCGGCAGATCAATATGATCATGATACTCCATTCACTCAACTCTCTACTGACAAAAAGTATCTTCTGCTCTTAATGCCAAAAACTTATACTTTTCATAACATAAACTTGGCTATGAGCGACTTACTGAATATCATATCGGCTATCGAGAATCAACATCTTAAAACCTGTTTAATCGATAACCTTCTCTACTTTCTTGACACAGTTGTTTGGATTTTGCATTTACGAAGTCTACATCATTCTTCAGCTGCAACTCGCATAAGAAACTTTCCACGAAACATGATCGAATATCTCAGCGTAATACAATGATGTTTCCGTTTGGTTTTTGGACTGTTAAGATCCCATTTGCATCTATGTAGACTCTAAGGTTATTCTAGAACGAGTTGTCTAAACCACTGAGACCGCAAAATAAATTACATATAACAAAATAAAAGGAAAGCAAGAATCTTAAAAAGGTCTTGTACGAGAGTAACAAATAGTAACAATATTTTCCTTCACAATTCGAGATCTAAAATTAAATTTGCTTTACCATTACTACCTTACAAACGTATGTGGTCGTAATTTGACAGTTTTCATTTTTTATCACACGCAATGTCAGGTGGAAAAGTCATATTTATGAAAAAGAACTTTCCTCTCACCTTTCGATTTCGTTCCTTTCAGAGTCAATTCCCCCTGTTTTGACCAACAACACTTCATAGCAGCTTTACCTGATTGTTCAAACTTCTACAACTAATCGACGAACTTTTGGGGAGTGGTAATTTTACATGGAATGCAACCACAACAGATGTCTCCTCTAAGGGTGAACTATCCTTGGAGCTTTCCAGAATCTTGAAAAACAATTCAAATTCCAATGTCAAATCAACAATATCAAAGCTTGTCTTCTCTTAGTAAAGCTCAAGATAAATATTATTGACTGGTTCGTGAGTGGGTGTTTCTGTCACGCCGTGTTCGTGGTTTTCGGGATGAAAACTTCTGAGGTTCGTGACTTTTTGTTTCACCTCTATTCCCAAGATGGTCACCGTATTTAATTCTTAGCAGATAGAGGTGTGATTCAAAGGTAAGAACACGTGCAACCAAGGAAAAAGGGGTTAACACGATCAATTGTGGCATTAAAAGTTATCATGTTCTACATGGTCACGGCTTTCCTTAGTCACGGGACAAACTGCATCACAGGAGAGTCGGGGGAGGGGGGGAATGGGGCTGAAGAGGGGTAGGCTTCTTCAGGGAAGTCTTTTCCGATGCTACTGGTACTACGAATAACGGGATTTCTTCTAGCTGATATTTTAGAACGGCCAAGGAAAACTGATATTAGGTGAGTGACTGTAGCTTTATCGTTTATGTCTGCTTTTTTTATTTTTTTTTCAGTTTTTCCAAAATTCCATTTAATGATACTTAAGGGATGTATTGTTTCACCGTTACTAATGCGGGGTAGAAGTATGAACATGAAAAAGAGGAAACCAGTTTATAATGTATAAAATTTATCTTTTATTTTCTTGCCATCAGCGCCATTTTTGCAATTCATTTCGCTAAACAACAAGAGCGGCTCGTTCACTAGGCCGTTACCTGATGCACATTTCGAGCTTTGGCACAGCAAAGCCTCTTGCAAAAGCACATATATGTATATATATAAATATTGACTTCACTTAAGGAAATAAATAAATAAATGATAAAAAAAGGAAAAAGATAAATTCAAGTAGTCCCCTTACACATATCTGTAGTTTCCTTACAGACTCGACATACCCTAAGCTTTCCATAGATTAAAACGCGAAAATGGACAAAGAGCGGAATCAATAAAGACATCCGATTCATGTACAGTAAATGATAGCTTAATTAGCCACAGCATCTTAACTGCCCTTCCTTACTATAGGCCTCTATTTAAGAAGAAATAATTACGACTCGTCGAAGTCTGGAAGCAAGTGTTGCAGTTAGTGTTTGTATCAGGCTGGGTCCTTTCATTTCTAGAGTGACAACTACAGACCAATAGTACCAAATTTTTCAAGTAAATAAAAAATTAAATTCCACCCTTAGTTGGCTCATCATTTGCAATCGGAGTCCGCCTGTATCTTTTACATTAACGAATATTTGCGTTAACTTTCCGTTGTCATAATTTCAAAGGTAAATTTTGAAAACCTTTTTAACTGGAAAGGTGATCTTTCCCGTAAGAGCTGCCAAACAGCGTCTTTGAGCGGCGGTAAAACGATAACAGGAATTCGAATTTACTTGGCACTCTTAGAAATGAAAGGATGACCATTCCAACCGGGTGAGGGGTCTTAAAAAGTAATAAAAAAAGCAAATAAACAAATTGAAAATTATGAGAAAAAAAGTTATCTAGTTATTTGTTACCTGAAAAAACACAGTTTTCCAATTTACAACAGATATCATTATAAAAATGGGAACTTTGTGAAACCACTTCAAATAGAGATGGGAAAAAAGTAACATACTACGACCTGCACAACAAGCACATCATTATCACATTCAGACAGTGACAACAGTTACACAACTAGAACTTAATTGTTGATGAGGATCCTATTAGTCCACAAGTTATTAGGCAGACAATACAATGTCTCAGACTTAACTTCTCACAACCTTACAACAACGTGGAACATTCCATATTGTGATTTTCAGAATGTCTGCTAGGAAAGTTGTCTTGACTTTGAAGAATGACTACATTTATCTACTCTCCATGTAAATAGCTAAAAGGAAACTTTGAAAAAATGTTTCTTGCACGATGCAAATTTTGTACTAGTCAATATAAAGTGAGAGGAAAAAATTTTAGTGAATTTTCAGAAAAAATTGTTTTTTTAATGTTGTAAGGCTTTGAAGTAGTAAACTCACTATCTGAAAAAGCAAAATATTTCTATTTTTTACTAACTTAATGCGGTGTTGAAATTGTGTACAGCTCTCCCAAACAATGGACCCAAAAACAAAAAAATTTAAAGTAAAGAGAAGTTGAAGAATCTTCAATTCTGAAAGAAGTTTCCAAACACAAAAATATTTACATAATGATATCATTAATAATAACAATAATATCAGTAATAATAACAATAATAATAATAGTTATAATATTTCTAAACAGCAGCAGTAAAGAACTAGTTTATCTGATAAATGGTTAAAATGGGATAAACTTAATCCAACACAGTTTAGCAAGGTCCACCAAGAAAAATTTCCAAAAAAATCCATAAAATTGTACCAGAGAAGTTCCTACAATCATTTATGATGAATTCATTTTTCTTTCGATTCAAGTTACATAACCTTTGACTGCTAACATCTGCCAGTTACTTGTTTGAAAATGTCTAATACTCAATTGCATCAGGACAATACAATGCAGCTGATAAATGTTATATCCTCTATTTAATGGTGTAAGAATTAATTGGAGGAAATTACACTTTGCTTACCCTTGATTCAAAGAGTTTTTAAACCCTGTAAAGTCTAGAACATTTTAAAACTCAACAGAAATCATTAAACAATAAAACTTTGCCCTCCATGTCAACTTCTCTAGTCTTAACTACAACATGAAGGCCCAGTGCAATAAAAGTTACTGGAAAATTGTTTCTCAGACAAAAATGGACTGTCCTTTTCATAAATCATTGATAATTTGGCCTATACAATTTGCTGAAGCGATGAATGTAGCTGCAAATATTGAATACATGATAATATCTTCCACCGTTCCTATAAAATTCTTATTACCTATATGCAAAGAAATGGAGTGGATCAAAAGAATTCCTGGAGAAGTCCCACACCACACTGTTAACAAATGGTCTTGATTTGGAAAATCTGCTTCCCTTCAAAACTAAGAAGCTTGATTCTTAAAATTTTTATGACTAGTTGATAAAAAGGATAGCGACTACCACAACTGGGGAGAACTCTGCTGTTCTGGCTGTGGAGCTACTCCAGAACTGTGAAATAAAAATTAAATAATCAAAGGTTATAAGTATTTGTAATGAACATTGCATAAGGAAAAATGTAAGTTTTCACCAGGATTTGAGCCCAAGACCTTCTAATTTTGAGGTCAGATTATCTACAAACTAAACTACTGATAACTTGAAAGCAACAGTTGTAGGCCAAATAACAGGTTTGTAAATACATGGTAAGTGGTTCATTGTTCAAGAAGCAGTGTAAGAGAGCACAATTCCTTTTTATAGCTTGACTTTGAATAGAAATAAGGTCTTTTGTATTAAAAATTTAAGATGCGTTACTGAAATTGGTTTCCAAAAAGGTGGATGGATAAGTCATCTAATATTCTGCTTGAATGGTGAAGTTTCTCTGGGATGAAACTGCTAATAGCATATTGAAATAAGTACAAATTTTACAAGAAAGGTTAACATGGCGAGAGGAATTTCAAGTTTAAAAGTCAGCTTTAAGTCCACTCATTGAAAAAGAAGCAATGTGATATTACTAGTAAGAACAAATTGTTGAAAATTTAAAAATTGTCTTACCTTTGAAAACTTCTAAAAGAAGGAGAAGCTACATTGATACACAAAGGAATGGTGTTCTGATGACGATCTGTTATAAACTTGTAAAGAGACTCTGAAAAGAGGAAATTGAACCCAGTAAGAAATAAATCTTTTTTTTCAAAATAGAATAGAAAATAGGAAAAAGAACTAAAAAAATCTGCACACAAACCTTTCACACGAGAAATGGTGTAGAGATTAGTTTCATAAGAATCATCAAAAGTTGTTTGGCATACAGGCTCAAAGTCTATGGAAGAGACAAGAAATAAGTTAGATTAATTTGTAATAACACATACAAAATCAAATGCCATAAAGAACTTATGAAATTGTCATTACAGTAAAAAAAAAAAAAATCACACCTGAAACATACTGCCGCCCATCTGATGTTGTGTGACAGCAACTGCACATACACGTGTGAAATCTTAACCTTCCTTCATCAAGATAAGGGTGGGATAATGCATCTGTACAAGTTATACGCTGTGTCTAAGACAAAAAAAAATACAATGCAAGTTGAAAAATGTGGTTTGGATTACCTGCATGGAGGAAAAACCAACTCAATATTGGGCTGGTTTTTAAAAACAGTACTTAACTTCAAAGAGCTACTTTTTAACCAAGAATGGATACTCAAGTGATTTTACCACACTTGACAACAATACATTGACCAGTGTAATTATCTACTGAGGGAGATATGTGTCTGTTGGGATAATTACAGTCTAAGTACAAGCCATGAAAATAATTTAAATAAATTCAAGCCAGTGAAACAAAACTTAAAACTTGGACAGCATATCCTCATGAGCAGACTCCTAGAGTAACAGCCCTTCATTTAAGGACTATTGCTCCTGTTCGCCCTCACACAAAGGGCTGCAAGTCAAAACATCAGCTTTTCAAACCTTGCTACAGCTTTATAGTCATTTACCAACTTCTGATTGACAATAAACTTACTGTCCCTAAAAGGCTAGTACAGTAGTTCACTCTCTAAGCTCTGGACCAAATTCTTAGGGCTAACAACAATTGAATATTCTGCCAGAGTACAGCAGGGTTATATTTGTATATAATGATCTTAAAATATGTACTTACAGGGTCAAACACCAGCATTCTACAGAGCAAATGAACAGCTTCATGTGTTGCTTGATTAGAGAGATTATATAAACTAGCTAAGGCAGGCTAGAACAAAAGATGACAGAAAATAGCATATTTGAGTTTAGTCTCAACACAATGGGAATTTTCTCATTTGAAACCTTACTAAAACTATACTGGAGAAATCAGTTTCAAATTTGTTAGTTTTGTGTAACTTACTGCCTTGTGCCCTTTCTGAAGAATGTATTTAGTAGCTCCTTCGCTGGCACCAGCTCGGCATAAGTCATCCAAACTTGGTGTTCCCAACAAATCAATGATAAGGTTAAGCTGAAATGATGGAAAGATACATCAGACACGTGTCATAAAGTTTGGAAGCAAGACAATGCATCTTAAAACATCTGCAGGAAGTCTGATGATACAATCAAAATAAAGAAGCAATCAAGATCCACCTACCTGCTGAACAGGACTTTGTGCTTGGAAAAGGATATTTCGACTCAAGAGCTCAGCAAAAATGCACCCGACTGACCACACATCCACTGAAATGGGAAAAAAAAAAGAAAAGTCATTCATCAAGTCAAAGTTCAAACATGCACAGGATAGTAAAATTTACAAGGCTTATTTCAGACTTCACATTGTTAATGAAAGTGTAAGTAAGAGCAGTAAGAGATTATTTCCATTTTACATCATCTTCTCCCAGTCTTAAAATTTCAACCACAATATACTTCAAGCATGTTGGTGGAAAAGCTCAAACATACAAAGGATAACAAAATGTACGAGGCTTACTCTAGACTTCACATTGTTAATAAAAGTGTGAGCTAAGAGCAATGACAGGTTCTCTTCATTTTACATCATCTTCTTCCAGTCTTCCACTACAATATACTTTAAGCATGTTGGTGGAAGGACTATGAGAAGCCAAGTGGTTTACCAAATACAATGTGTGATAGATGTACATGAAGGTCCAAAGTTTCAAGTACCGTTCTGGAATTCTTTCAGGCTATTCTTCTCTTTTTAATATTTTTTTAATTACACACATTTGTATATAGTTTTATGGAGAATCAAGATCAATACTGTAACTGTTGTCTACCAACCTGCTTGACCATAGTTAGTAGCCCCAGCTAACAGTTCAGGTGCCCTGTAATACTGAGTAACAACCTGTCATAAAGATAAAGAAGAAATCTCACCTTGTCATGTTGTTTAGACTGTACAATAAAACAAAGTGAAAAGTGAAAACAGTATAAAGCAGGCATCTACAAGACCATTGCTAATGTCCATTTTAATCAGGATCTTTGCCTAGGACAGGTTCTAGCAAACTGCACAATTCTAACCCAGCTCAACTTTTGGTCTGTTACACCATAAATGTCTTTCATTAATTGATTTTTTTAATCAACTGTTTTTAGCCCTTTATGCCCTCTCTGTTACAAACATTTGATTGCAAATAGAGTTGGAAACAAGGTACTTCTGTTTTTGTTTCTTTTTAGGGTTTGAGGTTCAGCATACAGCAGTTGCTGCCTTCTTTAATTTAACACATATTTGTGCCAACAACTATCTCCATGGCTTCAATATAATGTAACTATATACTCCATAAAAATGACTAATGCTTATAGGCACAAGATAGCTGATAAATCTGAATTGCTTAAATCACCAAGACTGCTGTAGGGGTCACACAAGTTACAAGGTATACACCGAAAATATCCCTACCTCTTGTGTCATGATTGCACTTTCATGAGGTTCTTCAAGACGAGCAAGACCAAAATCACATATCTGTTATCAAAGACAGGGAATTTGAGTTTAAGAAGAGAAGATGACTATAATAAAAAGGCAAGGTTTCATGCAATAATGTTTTTACCAACAGAGTTGTCATTGAATGTTTTTATACCATTGGAGAGTTGGGTGCATACCCAAACTATTTACGCTTTGATGTCAAGAAATGAATACATTAGCGTAGAAAATGTGCACTTCCTTCCCATAGACCATATTTACTTCACTAAACACTGAGGTGTCTATTCAATTTTCTACCCCTAAAATGCAGCACCTATACCAGGGTATTTCAAGAATCTAGGATTCTTTATTTAAAATCCAAACTCAAAACTAGTTACCTACTGTAGGTTACTGAGAGAACAAAAGTCATGAGTTCAAGCATCTCACAGAATGTATTGTTTTGTCTTATCTTAATTTGATCTGTTGTTAACCTTAACATCATATGGAAAACACAGTGAAAGAAAAAACAAGAAACAAGTATTTATACTTACTTTTAAAAGGCAATTGCCATTGACTAATAAATTTCCAGGTTTAATGTCTCTATGCAATATCCCAGCAGAGTGAAGATATTTAAGTCCTACATATAAAAAAGGGCAACTTTAACATCTAAATAGAATATTGAAACTTCTCTGTTACATCTATGATGGTACTCACTGCTGGATGTACAATAATTCATAAAATGGACACAAATCTCTGTTGACATTGAGTCCAGAATCTGAATGAAATCCCTGTGTTGGACACCATTGATATTCTCCTGAATATCAATTATGCTTAATTTTCTCATCATCCAAGTATAGTTTGCTAGATCTTGCAGATACAATCACTTTAGATTATTTTACTTTCTACAAAAGGGAAAACAACTTGAAAATAATATAATAACATAATTGGACTTTCTTTGTAAGAGCAAATACCCTTCTGTAATCTCTAAATGGGATTATTCCATTTACTGACTTCCCTTGGTAGGGACAGACTGCATATGACCAAATTGTCTTCATTTTGATTTGCAAAAAATGAGGCAAAACTTTCCTCTCGTAATGTTTATTCCTAAATAATTACTTTCTTCATGCAACCAAGTTTTTACTAAACCAATTATTGGGTTAATGTCAGACTACAATCATGACTCCGTTGGATGTGCTAATTTTGGTTGCACATTCCCCGGGTGGATAACAGTTGTTTACAGCTCTGGACTGGGATAGAACAGTCAATCAACAGCCTTCCTTAACTTATTTGACACTAAAACAAATAGCCACTCACCTCTTAGAATCTGATATAGGAAAACTTTAACGTGATCTGAACTAAGTGGTTGTGGCGATACAATGATTTTGTGCAAATCTGATTGCATCAATTCTGAAACTATATGTCTGTTGAACAACAAGTCAAGGTATGCAACACAAGGATTGAATGATATATACTCTGACTGCACCCTCCCTCTCCTCTGCTGATGATCAGTTTGCTTTTAACCTTTAATATGTTGGTGGCCATGTGACACATACATCCATTCACTTCCTTAATCCTTTAACTACCAGAAGTGATCAACATGACACTTCTCCCCACAATATTCTCACATTATCCAGTAAACAGGTAATGAGAATATTCAAACTTATCAGGTAGAAGTTGTTATCTTGATCTTGCACCAAATCATCACAACTAATTTACAACAATATGTTTAGTGGCTAGAGGGGAGAATTAACAATCAGATCTTGGGAGTTAAATGGTTAAATTTGACTTAGATTTGGGAAAGAATGAATTGCAATAACGACATGTATGCTACTGAGCCAAACAACTTAAACCCTCTGCCTCAGTTGCCTAAGATTTTTCTATTAACAAGACTTAGACAAAGAGCAAAACCTTAGGAGCCACCTTTTCCATTATTTGGATAAGCAGCTAAATGACCTGTATCTTCTTTAAGCCCAGCAAGGTGCCCCTTGTTGACTTTGAATCAATAATTCAGTTCATTATTCAAAAAAAAAATCCTAGCAAAAAGGGCAGAATATCCTACACCTGCTCTTAATAATTCCGAGATAGATCATCATTCAAAACTCCATTCTTAATTAGAGTCCACTCAGTATAGCAAATTCTTCAACAACATAAACTTCTACATCGGAATAAACATTTAAATGTTCAGTGTTCTGCCTACTTTTTTATTCATCAACAACAGGTTACAAACAGCTGTTTGCAAGCAATACATTACTGACTTAAACAGTCTTTTATTTTGAAATCAAAACTTCTTGTGACATTGTTTATGAGTACATCCTTTCTCCATAGAGATAACAATTATAGACATGAAATCGTCACACTCTCTCTGCATTAGTAAGAAGTCATGGTCAGTCTTTGTTAAGAAGCCAAACTATAATTCAGAATGGGTTATTGTAAATTCTAATATAAAAAGCCACAAACTAGAAACACCAAATTTCAGTATTAAGTTTGTATCACACTTGTTTTTGTTATACCCACTGGTATTTGAGAGGAGTAAAAAATTTTCATGATAATAGTTTGCACTCCATGAAAATCTGGGTGATTTCCATCACATTGACCAAAAGTCTTTTTTCTTTTCTTTTTTATTACTGACTAATGCAGGTGGACATTCAACCTTATGACTATGATTACCTGGGAAACAAAGGTGCAAGTTACAAGAATTCTCATTGTCCTATCAAACAAAACAGGCAGTTATTCAGAGCTATATATTGTGACTCTTTTGGTTGCTGTGGCAAGTGGAAAGAAAATTTGGTGCCTGAATCCACAGAGAAAGTAGTCAATTTGGTGACCTTTGAGCAACAGTCATGCAACAAGCAGAAATACCAGTATCACACAGAGTTTGTGGTCTGAAATTCAAGTTAAATTAACATATGCATACAGCACTCTAAACACTTTGTTCTTTTCTTTAAAAGAAAATTTCCTTTAGACCCAAAATAAAACCTGGTTAACCTCCAAAAATAACTGCCAGAAATATTCCTTATTAGAAAAACCAAGAGGCACTTTGATCATTACAGTCTGCTATGAAGTATTTCACAAATTACTCCGACATATATTCATTTCATTTGTTGTCAACTTAACTTGTGCTGCTGATGATCATCTCATCATTAAGGTTTTCCATATGATGACTTTTAAATAAAACTTTACTTGGAGCCCTACCATATTTCACAATGTTAATATGATTTGTGGTTACTCCAACATTAAACACAAAAGAGAGGGGAAGTGGCTAAATAATCCTCCACCTTCCCCATAACTGGTCATAATTTTTACCACACTTCTGTGCCAACAATATTTGGAATTTAAAAGACTTTGATCAGAGACAATGGATAAAACTGGTAGAGCTTCCTTAAACAGTTTCACTGAAACTGAAAAGTGCCCCATACAATTTGTTTCACTTTACTTTTTTTTTTAACAAAAAACCTTTGGAGTTTTTGTGAATGCCAATGATTATAATACTAGAGTATGAATGAATAAGAATTAAGTCCTACCTGAAAAGAAGTGTTGATACCATAGCAACCATGACAGCTACCCTCTCTTGTAGCTGGCAGTTTATCTTGTATGTCATTGAAAATTTAAATTATGATAATTCCTACCACAAAGACTAAACTTTTCCATTTGTCATGTACAGGAAGTTAGTCATCTAGTTAAATCTGGTGAAAATGAAAGCTTAGAAGAAGCATAGGTTGGTTTTTCTGAATTAAACACACCCAATACTCAAGATATGCTTATCTTATGTAGCTACTGAAATTACCACACATATGTAAAACAGGATAACTAGGATCTGAAATGAATCTTTGGTCCAAGAAACCGATAACACAAAAACACATGCCAGAAATACCATCAAAAGGCGAGATGTGACCATTTAATAACCTCGCTCGATAAATAACCAAAATGTAAGTAAAAATGATCTACCGCGTCCGATTTTTAAAGACGATCTTTACAAAGGAAAGATATCAACACAAAGGAAGTTGTCCCTTTTGTTGTCATGGTTCGAATACAGATCGACCGACCATTGACCGGAACTGACGAATATTTCCCATCAAAGAACGCCCAACTTTCCAATGCAAGTGAGTAAAAAGACCGTAATCAACTTGTAAAATTCCACAAAGGAGAAATGTCGAGAGGTTTCGCCAAAAAAATTACAATGTGCTAAAACAACTGCAAGTCAACTATGTCGGCGTCATCAAACACAAAGCGAAATTTGAAATCAACAGGTGGGGAAGCGAATTGGGTTCGATCGTCGAGATTCTTTCAAAAGCTCAAACTCCTACAAAGAACCAAGTTCACATTGACGATATACAAAAAACCACAAACATTCGCCATTTCACTTCGAACGAAAACAGCTTTGCACAGTCGCTATGGGAGGCCGAGCACTTTCTTCAATTTATTTCTTTACCGGCGGCAGAGCGATATTTGTAGTTAAGCTTTGAATATATTTGAAGCGAAAGCGAACTTCAACATCTCAATCTTGATCAATTTCCGCAGTACTCAACATAACTTTCCTATTTTGGATCTTTTTCAAACAATTAATTCTAACGACAGAAAGTCGAAGTAGAATAAGCCCCTCCTTGAGCCAAACCCGTGTCTGAAATTGATGTCGAATTATTGTTTTAGATTTCGTTCTGTCACGCTACAAAGGTAAATACATATGTATTTAACAAAGGATACATCTCTTGGAAGAAATCTATGTGACCAGGGTGAACTATGTCCAAAGCAGAGAGTACCTACGTGATGAAATAATAATCAGCTGATTATCAGTCGACAGATGAAATTTCCTTGTTCACAACTCACGCCAAAAGCGGCTAGTGCATGTTTGAATAATTATGTACTCCGTTCTAATATTAACTCGGCATTTCTATGTAATACCGGCATTTTAAATCCAGAACTTACAAAAAGTAAGACCTACGTTGTTATGTGTGAAGAAACACAACATCTTAAGTTCCCGGTAGGCTCTTTTCGATGAAGTGAGACTCTGAAAAACGTTCGGCATCTTCTTCAAAGCGACCCTCTTTCCATTTCTTGGATCCGTCACAGACCTGCGAGGACGAGGAACAATTGTTAAAAGAACGCTTCAAAATCCCACTTACCTCATACGATTATCTTCCAAAATACACACCACACTACGCCGAACGCTCCATAACCAATTGGTTTGTCCGGTTGTGTTTCTTGTTGGGCGAGCGGAGCGTAATGTGAATTGTGGCAGCTCGTCGACGGTTGTTGGGAATGCGTCGAGGGAAACGCCATCAAAGACCGGCTCTTGCACACAGCCATCAAAGACGTGATGCTTCAGCCACCCAAGTCATTCAAGGGCCATGTTGTTGACGCTCTAGGAGCATTGCATATTCAGCAGCTTGCTGAAAGGGAGAAAGAAAATCACTTATGAGAAATAGCGATTTTCTCTAACATCCCCTCGCCGCGATCGGTTGACGCAGTTCTTGGTGAGTCGAGTTGTACGCACTGAGTGAGAGACTGCTGGACTTTCGAACGCACATGTGGCGGTCTATCAATGCCATGTTCTGCGCACGCGTCACGCAACACCCTTTAGCGCAGAGCACTATGGGAGTAAGGCTATGACAACAAACGGTCACGAAAATTACCACATCACGCAAACTATCACAACGTCATAATTATTTCCCCTACGTAAATTCAAATACCAGCCGTTAAGATAACTTAAAACACCATGTACACGAAAAAAGTGTAGCTTGATCACTAAATCCATACAATGTTTTCTTTTGTCCACCGTAATTTCAGCTTCAGAGTAGCTTGCATGTTAGCAGTAGCTTGCTATGTTGTTCGTGATGCACGCGAGGACGCGTTTTGGAGTGTTCACGGACCGGTAATGATATTTGAGATGTCAAGTAAACCTGTGGCGTTTCAAATGGGTTTGGGCACTCAGGAGTAAACTAACACGCACGCGATCAGTAGACGCTATTAGCATCATAAACTTGACAAACCTAAACCTAATCTTAAAACTGTTTCATAATGAATGTCAGATAAAGATATTGGTTTTGCTGGGCCAAACATAAACTTCTTAAAGATTGCCTAAATGTGACTTGAATGACAGGTATAAATACAGTTATTGTGAATCAAAAGGAGAAAGAAAAACACAAGTTTGTGGCAACTATTGTGAGTTTTTTCTTACATAACTTAATTCGTGACAAGATGAAACTAGTTTAGAATTATACCATGAAACAGCTGAAACACGTTTTCAAGATAGGAGGGCTTTCGTTGAGGCCTGTGAGACTTCGTACTTGTTTGTGTAAAACTTATGGTTAATATGACAATTTTTTTAAAAAAATTGGGTCTGCTCTAAATAAGAGTTCACAAGTCAATGAATCATTAGTTCAGAGATGTAACTTTTGTTGTAATTGTTGCTGTTTTATTTTTTTGCTTTTTACGCCAAAATTTGTAAATGTTAACAATTTAAACAGAATGAGATAACAGTTCAAATGAGCGAAACGTTGCTAAATTCGCATTGAAAAACCTAAGTTCTTAAAGGAATATAGCCTCACCTTATTTATCTTTCGCTTTGCCCCAGTGTTTCAATTACTCGTTCTTCTTTTCCCCGTATTGATATACTGAGGTGATATCTGAATGAATTTACCGTACGCGCTGACTGTATTCACGTCCCAAAGGAGTATTGATTTGACTGAGGCCTCAACTTACTGTTCATGTGGCTTATTTATAGTGACGTAACAATTTTGTTCAAAAGAGCCAGTTGTTCGTAGTTGACTGTACTTCCGTGGCACGAGAGAGGTCAGCTGTCAAACGGAAAGAGGTGTATACCATGGCCTCGGGGCGGCAAGGCAAGATAACACGAAAGTAACTTGCTTATTGGACATATGTTAGGGAAAGAGTAAAGATATTTCCATGTCAAAAGAACAGCAATAGTATCGAATATACAACGTATAGTTTGCCTTCTATAAAAATCCCGCTCAACCTATCTTTCGTTTCGGAGTTCAAATTGTTCAACAATTTCGTGATATCATATTTAAACAGTCTGCACGATCTACACGTGTTTATAGAAAACATGTAACATGTCGTGAGGTCACGCACAGCAGACCATAGAAGAAGGAAGCTGAAAAATCTTTTTTAAAAACAAGGTTTGCTTGATTGAAATTAGGCAGGTGCAAGGCTTCAAAGAGATCTAACAACGAATTTAAGGTGAGGTTATGGGATACAATTTTCTGTGTCACTCTGAAAATGGCTTAAATCGGACTAGTAAATCTTATCCTCCGTTGTAGACACGGTTGTCTGGAAATTTATCCGTGATGTACAGTAGGCGGAATAATACTCAGAGCAGCCATTGAAGATTAAGAATCTACGCTGTGAATGATGAAAAGGTGCACTGTAAACAGATCCGGCGCGCGTCCGTTGGAGCCAAACTGGCTAGTAGCGGTAAGGAGACACTTTCCGTGTCGGCATCAACCAGATCGTATTGGGCAAGAAAGTGATGCGTGATTTAAAATAACAAACTGAGTAAGCAAAGAATCTACACTGACCTTCTTGACACCACTCTTACAAAATCGGTGACTTTTAGAGAGGCACAACTACAAAGCTCCTTTAAAGCTCTTAAAGGAGTGTGGAACAAAAGATGAGTCCTTCAAGAAATTTATCTCACGCATGAAGACCAGTATTGTGAAGGAAAAAATCTCTTCACAAGTATTTGGTCATCGAATCTTCAATGTTCAAGGGACGTATCAATTCTATTGACTACGACGTGTGAGTTTTGTGTCGTTTATTTTTTCCGAAATAGCCTTTGGTCCATACTAGCTGAGACAAGATAACGTCAATTGGACTCAAAATAGTATTGAGTTGATTGAGGATCCCTTATGCTATTTATGTCTAAATGTATTCGCTTCAAAGATATGCCAGATTTTCCACGCGAACGTGAAAGAATTTTGAGTACCAAGCAGTATATCTATCCGTTATGAACCGCTAGCCGATGACTCAGTGATTCACTCGCAGCCCACTCAGCATAACAGTATCCTAAAGCGTGGATGAAGAAAAAAACTGTTATCGGGGAATCCAGTTTTAGTCAAAGCGGACACACTAGTTACGCGATTCGTTGCTTTCGTCAAAATTGTTCTTTTTTCCTTCAGCTAGCCCGATTTAACCTTTTAGGAGCAGATATTCCCTTGTCATTTAGTGTTAACAACTGAGTTTAAAACGTAAATTTGCCACCATAAAGGGTGAAAAAGCTGACGTTTCGAGCGTTAGCACCCTCGTCAGAGCGATTGAGCTCAGTAACGCTCGAAACGTCAACTTTTTACCCTTTACGGTGGCTAATTTACGTTTTCAACTCAGTTGTTAACACTAAATTACCTACTATACTCTCCCACCGACGCAGCACCACAGTTTCTTTAGAAACTTACTCCCTTTAATCATTAGAGTCTAAAAAGAGGAAGGAAGGACAGGTCAGCTAAGTATTCGAACAGAGAAATTCACTCCTCATCTCCCTACTGTGCGCATGTCAAGTCTGCATTCGAGCTCTTTTTCTCGGCTGGAGATATCGGTAGTGTGGACGGCTAAAACTTTAGCCCTTTGAAAAGAGAACTTTAAGTATGTCATCAATTGTATTCGCAATAGTGTAAGTAGCGCCCGAGTAAGTCCCCGTGTAAGATTCGCACTCAATCTAAATTAACGTTATCCTTCACTCTTTTGGCAACTGAAGCAATAAAACAGAGCTTTAAGAATTCCGGAAATTTTTGAAAAAGTGATCTTTTACAAATCTCATACCTATTTTCCATCGTTCTCGAGTACCTCCTTCATTCCACCTAGCGCGTAGCAAAGGCCTCTTTACGCGATATCCGTCTGAGTCACAGTAACTATGGATCAATATCAGTATGTGGGCAACTGCAACCCACCCCTCCCCTAACCCAACATTAACCCGAACTTGTTATTGGTCGACTGGTGTTGGGTTAGGTGCACAGTTGCACAAATACCGACAGTCATCCAGTCCTCTAACGGATTGAGTAGGTTATCTCATATCCCATACAACATAACAGGAGAACAAGTTTATTTGCATAATCCAGTGCAATCAGTCATGGTACTCGTTGTACACAGCATGTACTTCCTGCAACTCACTTTCTTGTTCCAAGCCTCTCTTTTACTTCCACGTGGTCCAGAAGGGCGAACCTAGAGTATAACTTCATTCCATAACATATCTGATTTGCTAACATTATAGCGACGATACGAAGGGAAAACGAAGCCTGCAGTAAATCATTTTGGATAATTCAGGTGGAGAATGTTGTCTAGAAAATAACACAGGTTTCATAATCCATGATAACATACGCCTTGCATAATTTTACAAAATTTTACGACCAAATTGTACTGTCTTCTCGCCAACAATTGACATTTACCGAAATCGTGCAGCCCCACGTTTAGAATATTATGGAATGAGAACTACCGCTTTTGGCAATAATGCAAGACTGATTAATCATAGATGAAAAATAGATTGTTTTCACATGATGTCACGACAGCCATACCAGTACCAAATACATTAAAATGGTGGCCACCGTGAGTTACCAACTAAGTCCTTTGTGAATTAAACCATTTTGTAATATAAACTTTCTTTTGTTCCAATAAATATACATAGCTGCTCGCCACATTTTATCAGCTTTTCCATTGAAGGACATGCACGCTCAGACGTAAAAATTACTTTCGTAACTTGGACTGCGGTTGACTGGGATAAGCCTATGTCAATGGCCAAAGTTTATCGGAGCTTTAATCCTTGATAACAATTATGGCCTCGTTACGTTCTACAAAATCGAAATTGAACGAAGAATTATATCTTTGATGCGTGTTCACTTTAGACCGAGTTAAAGGACCCACTACATCATAGACTTTCACTAATGTCATTGCCATAGTTAGACCTATTCTCAACGAAGGCCACTGAAGTTATTTATACCTATACTCATGTCTTAATTAGAACCCAAAAGAATTGTAAGCTCAAAATAATTAGAAATTGTCCATTTATATATTTTTTGGGGATTTTCTTTATAAAGTAAGAATTCAGAAAGAAAGTGATTTCACGGAAAAATTGGATCAACCTTCATCCGCAGAGGATACTCTAACATCGAGTTAGCGCAAACGTTCTTAAACGAAAACACTAGGAAAAAAGACACTAAATTGAGCAAATTATTTAAATACACAAATCCCTTAAATGAAGAACCCCAATCTCAACATTTTTCTTTTCAGTTCACGTGAAGCACAGTTGATTTCTATATACAGTGTACATTAATAAACCTAAAGAGTTGAACAAATAGCGTTTGTGGAAATGAAGCTCACTAGCACGAAAAAGCAGCAAACATGTGAAATTAGCAACGAACGGCTTTACAAATAAATAACTTTTTTTTCTTAATTTAGAAGAGAAGAAGATGTAATCACACGGCCACAGATCTATAGTATCTAAAATATGAATACAGTCAGAAAGATCTCAGCGACAGCGTCAGTAAACTCACGCTCACCAATACAATAATTATGGAAGCATTCAATACCAAATTACCGCAAAAAAGCTTAAATTAATTCATGGCTGCGGTCTGCTGTCTCTCCAGTTCTTCTACTGACATGACTTTCCTTGAAAAGTCAGCAGTGGTATCCTTGTGCACTGGGGCGGCCTGTTGAAGAACATCTTCACTGAACCACTTCGACAAAATGTTGCCTGAGCCAGACCCACCCGGAGAATGGGATTGATGAGGATGGTTCGTAATAGGACTGGGAACTATAAAAACAACAACAGTCTATATTCGTTTCACCCATGATTAAAACGTTTCAATCTACGTTCGTGTTGTCGAAACAAGAGAGCGTAACAGATGACTCATGTGGGAAAAAATTCAAGTGCTGTCAAAACAAAAGACGTCTTTGTGCCTAATCGCCTTATTGTTTACCATCCTTTCTATAATTTATTGTGTCGCCAAACTGGACGAAAAAGTTGTGTGAACGACTCTTCTCCCCATAGTAATGAAGCTAATGGAAACCCTAACATGGATCTATGTTTTCAGCTTGGAGAATATTTCTTTTGTGCTAAAATTTCGCAAGTGATCGACTTTTGACTAATGCTGTTTACATATCTTGTTGTGGATATGAATTAGTGTAGTGCTTATGGCACCCTATATTTTTCAAACTGCGAGCCACGCCATTGGAGAGTCATCTGCCAATTTGCAACCATGCTTCGTCTTTTAAGTGCTGATAACTCTGAGAGGAATACTAGTTCATCATTTCAAACACTTAGGTATTGGCCCGTCGAGGCCATTCAATCAAACCATAAGTAGAGCCGAGTTTCCTGCGACTAACAGACAACATCGCATAGCCACTAAAACAAATACGGAAAAAAAGGATCAAAACACCTACCTCGTCTCCCCTGGACCTGCTGTAGACCAACGTGATGGGGCATGTGAGGGGAACGAGCTCCTATCATCGTTGCAGGGTTAACAGTTGGATATCCAGGTGACGGACGCCCCCCATACATCATAGCGGCAGCAGCTGCTGCTGCTGCTGCAGGATTGTGTCCTGGCATTATAGGATACCTTCCCACCGAGTGTGGAATAGGCAACCTCATAGACATCGGGTTTATTCCGGGAGAGGGGATGCCGCCCATGGGAGTTCCACTTGAAGACATCATCCTTAGATAAGCTGCTTGCATGTGCGGTGGGATCATACCAGGATGCATTGCAGAACGGGGAGGCATCGGCATGCCTGGCATAGGTGAGTTAAAGGGAGTCCGACCAGGATGACCATGCATTGCTGGCATACTTGACGGTGACATGCGTCCATTTGGTACATGTGGACCAGGCCGTGGACCATGCGGTCCTGAAAACGATCTTGTCATGAAATGAGCCGGAGTGGGTCGTGAACCACTTCCGTGGATTCCTTGAGGATGATTTGGCGGCAGGTTCTCATATGATGTCGACATCTCGGTGCTGTTCATTCTTTGCATAGTTGGACCATGATGACTTTTTGACAAACTCTCACTTCTCTTCGTGTGAAACACGTCTTCAGGCATAGACACCTTCTCTGGTATACTATGCGGTTGCTGCTCGAACGAGTGCGTTAGGGGCCTGCCTTCATTGGCCGTGACAACACGCGTGATGCCACTGCGAATGCCTTTTCCCTGACTCTCCAAGGTAGTGACATGGCCAAATAATCCTTCCCCTGGCTTACTGTCTACTCTTGGCATCAAACCTTTGGACGCCAACTGCTGAGGCGACAGCAAAGTTGCTTTATCTGCCAATGGATGACGTTGAGGAGTGCATGGTTCCGAGTGAGGCAGGGGCCTTGCGGGTCTCAGTGGTGATCCTGCGCTCTGATTAAAAGAATGCAGAGGAGATGCTGGTTCGGAGTGAATACCGCTACTCTTGAAACTAAGAAACGGTACTTGTGGAGAGCCAGGTAAAGGTCTAAAGGCCGTTGGCTTCTGCAAAATTGGCGAACCACTTTGAGGTGGTTGTGAATCATTTGACATCATGGACCTTGGAGACAATAGATGGTCGTGTTTCTGAGCAGGTTTGTTTCCTTGAGCGTCGTTTTCAGTCGCATACTGTTGGAAGAGCGCCATCTTAACTAATTCATCTGTATCGCCTGACTGTGACCTAGCTTTCGCCTGGAAGGGATCTTGGTCAGCCGTGTGGTCTTTGTTATTGGCAATGGCTTCTTCAACTGCTATGGAAGTTCTTACTTTAGGCTGTTCGTCAGACTTTGGCATCTTTTGGTCTAACTGTTCCTTGCGTATCTTTCTCAACACAGATGTCGGCATGAAAGATCGATCAGGTATAAAAGGGGAACCCATCTGACCCTCTGAAGTTGGTTTTGAATGTGGCGCACACTGATTGCGCGGTTCCGGGGCGCCTCCTGGCGTGGTGTTCCTCCCTTGTGGCGTCCTTGAAGGTGGCTTCTGGTTGCCTTTCTGCTGCATGCCTGGATGATGTCCTGCGAGGTACAGCGACATGACGTGTGGGGGTACGTTATGCAAGTTGACGCCACCAAACCCAAGTGGAGGACTGTCTCTCTGCTGCGCAAGTATAGCATGAGGAGACGGTGTGCGCCGTAACAAAGGAGAAGCAAACACATCATGAGACGGGCTTACTAAAAAGGGAGAAACCACACTGTAAATTAAAAGAAGAAAAGATCCTAACCATTCAAAATTAAGCCTGACGTGTGTGCCTAGGGAGATTGTTTTTGGAGAGGAAGGGGCACAAGGAGAAACAAAAGACACCCACACACACAGACAAACGGGTTCAAGTGGCCGGTCATTCATCAACCTCATTTTTCACAGCGGTATATATATGAGAATTTCCAATCCGATAAATTACAGAAATTCCTCCACAAAGTTATCATCATTCTTATCTTTCTCTCAGCCCCTTGGTATTCAAGATACTTATCTTCTACACAAACAAGGTGGCAGATCACATACCTATTGCACCGTACTTGTGGAACATCTCCAGAGGTGAGGGAGGTCTGTGCATCTGAGGCACCACCTGGGCTGGTGATGGGGGCCTGTCATCAGAAACTGCTCCCTGCATAGTCATCCGTTTCAGCAGCTCAGCAGGTGAGGGTGAACGTCTTAGATCATGATAAGGAGAAGGTGTATTTCTTGGAGTTTTACGTTTAGGAGATGGTGGTCTTGGTAGTAAACGGGACGGTAATCCCGGAATCTTTGAGTAAATAATATATCACAGGAAGAAATGAATTATTTCGCCACCAACTTACAGACTTTACCTGTTCTACAGTTCAGTTATGGTAATCTTTCGTTGCGTTTCAACGAGTCAATGACAATATCTCCTGCCTCATTTTAATTCACAAATAAGAAGCCTTGACTGTATTCTGTTCTGTTGTAAAGCACGTAGGAAGCGGCTAGAGCACGAAAGAAGCGAAGGAGGAAACACGAGGCGTAGTACAAACTGTATAAATTGGAAGATGGCAGGACAGCCTTAGCTCAGCTCGGTATTTTGTACTGTGTTGGAACACTATCTTTCAACCAAGGACAGCACGCGTTATATCCAAACTTTATTATAAAATTAAACAGATCACGGATATACGCTTGTACAGAACGTTCATAACCTACAAAGCTAACATATTTTAATTCTATTAGACAGCCACGAAGATAGGAACAAGACAGAAAAGAACTATTGCTAACAATGTGGCAACTTTATGGTTCCCCCCT